TGCATAAGACCAAAGAAAGGCATAGTTGACATCCCTTTTACTTTTTTTTCTGTATGGGTAGTGGTTATAATACTGTTCTTCCATTTTTAATTAATGGGTAACTACTTGAGCTCCCAAATCCTTTGCCGAGGCATTTGAAGGCTCTAAGGATGATTAGATGTAAATTGTGTTGGTGCTAACTGACCTTTTAGGGCTCTCAGCTTTTTTTTCTCTACCTCTACCATTTCCATACATGAACTTCAGAAAAACTTACAAAATGTTCAAGAAGAAAATATGAGAAAGAAATTCTGCAGTTCTTGGGTTTAAAACTCCAATTGTCCTGTACTTTAAAGTTTCAACTTAAAAATTCTATTCAACTTTTCAGTTAAACATTAATGAAACAATAAAATCACTTTTCACCTGTTTTCCAAAGATGAGTGGAAAATATTATATCGGTTACTGAGTTCTGCTGTTAACACATTTCTTATTATTTCGCTTGTCAGATTTCAAAAAAAATAATAACTTACATTAATTTATTAGTGCACCAATGACTCTGGCATTACTAGGCCTCTTTGTTATTAATAAAATGATATTTAATAATACTTATAAAGATAAAAACTTTAATTCTGAGTGATAATCTATTTATATATATTTTTAAATTTCAGTTTAAAAAAAGAAATTACATTTTTTTTTTAACCATAAAAAATCCTATTTAAGTTTCTGAGCTTATTTTATTGTTAAGTTATTGTAATCATTACTAATGCAAAAAGGCAATCAAGAGAAAGATTTATTTGTCCTTGAGATTTTGTCATTCTTTAATGTTAGGAAAGATAATTTTTAATATTATGCAGCCTGACAGATCATCTTCTCAAATAAGACCAGTATCTACGGAGCACAAGAGATAAGAGAGATGGGTGAACATTTTCGCTCACTAAAATGAAGTGGATAATTCTTAAGCCAATAGAATATTTTTAAATCAATCTCATGATTGGTCGAGGTTTGATTGTGGAGCCTTTTCTTCATTCATGTTAAAATCACCTTTCATGATGGACCAAGGCAATTTATTGGTATTAATAAGGTACTAACGTGTTCTTATTTTTTGCATATTTATTTTATAAAGATTTAGAATGGTTTGATATTTGTATCAGTGTTAGTCCAATGGATCAATAGTAGTAATCCAGCAGTAGAATACAAATTTTGCTGATAACTTAGGCTCATTCTTAAGTTCTTAAAGAACACCTTACTCATTACCAGTGATTAAAAATTTGTTTAAAACCTAAACTCCATTTTGTCCAACATTTTCTCGAGACAGTTCTTTGTTAAGAATTAATTTAATTTTCATGAAGCCAAAATATTTATTAATGATATTATGATGTTTGGATGGAGCCTGCTTGATATTAATAAACGAAATTTAAAAAAAAAACACGATTTATTTAGTCCAACTCAAAATAAATATCAAACTTCACAGGGTGGATTCCAACTAAAATCCCTTTTTACCTGAGCATTCTAAAGTGGTGACATAACATATTCTGTCATGTTTGAAAGCCTTACTTTGTAATATTCTTTCAAATCTTGTCTTCAAAAAAATAAAATAATTTCAAAGTAGTTTGTGTTTGTCCGGTTTATTTCTAAACTTTCAGCTCTAAGCAATGAAGGACACTTTAAAAACTTTGTTCTCTTAAATTTTATTGAACTGCTTTTAAGTTCAACCTGATATTAAAACATATCTTTGTGCTTATTTTGCAGCAATGAAGAGTTTCTGCAATTAATACATTAAATTAGCGGACGTTTCTTTTGGTCTAGATAAGAACTTGAATGAATTAAAATTTAAAAAATATGTTTCAGACACCTACCAATATGTACCATATAATCTGTGGTGTTACTATTAAAACTTCCTCCTACATCCTTGGACCATGGCTACTTTTGAACCACTCTATCCTCACTTCCTAGACTTTTGTATTTTTTATTTTATTTTATTTTTTTAAATATTTTTATAGAAGCTTTTTCTTGGTGTACATGTAAGTGCCAACCATTTAGTACAAACCATCTATAAGCTCTTTGTGGTAAGTATTTTTCATTTTTGTGAAAAGTTTTTGAATGCATGGCTTTTGTTTGTTTCGTTTGTATGTATGCACAATAATAAACTTATTTCTCTGTAATTTTAAATTTTTTAATATTACTTGATTAATAATGAAAGTGTTTTAAATATATATATATTTTTTTTATGTAATAACAAAGAATTTGTCCATTTTCACTAATCAAATTTGATCAAAACAAATTAATTGGTTTTAAATACTCCTAACATATAAGTTTTGTTTTTTTTCCATTAATTTTATTTGCAACTTTGATTTTATTATCAAATATATGTTTATTTTTTTATTGTTTATTAAAATGTGTAAATAACAAATAATTTATAACCAGCAACTAGTTATTTTAATAAATTTTATACTATATTAAGTACTGACTAACACCATTCTATTAAATAAAATCATTTCTACACAACTTTATTCATCAATAATTTTATATTATATGTTTTATTATTAACTTTTTAGAATAAGTGTAACATATATAATATAATTTTATAGTTTGTGCATCAGATAGAATACTTATTGAACAAATATTGCGAAATATATATAATATTCAATAGACTTGACTGAGGAATCTCACAAAATAAAAAAGAATGATGATCCTCGACTTCAGTGATTCCCCATACCAATTTTATTATTTCTGATAGTCATGGAGTGACACTAGCGGATCCAGGATTTAATTTTGGGGGGCTTCAGACCAAAAGCTTTTTTTTTCGTGAAAGTCACGATAATTACTTTGGGGAAAAAAAAAAGAAACTAACTACCTATATGAAATGGTGTTTAAGTGATTCCTTAAATCTTTTTAAATGTAATTACACGAACAATAATACTTTAAGAGATAATTCTTAATATATTTTTCCATAAAGCATGGTTATATTTTACCATTTTGGGGTGGGAGGAGGCTTCAGTCTGAAAGCCCCCTCCTCCTCCATAGGTCACCCTTGTGGAGTGACCTTCAAATCAATATATTAAATTAATTTCTCTAAAAGTAAAATTGATATTCATTCGAGTTTGAAGATTTGGTTATATACTGGCTGCATAGCTATTGATGAAAATGAAATCGGGTACTTCTTCACTTGCAGGCCGGGATTGACTGCTATCTGCCAATGTTTATAACCTGAAAATTGATAATTCCGATAACTCAGTGATAAGCCTTCTTGTAATTCCTATCTTCGTATTATTGAAAGTGTAAACAGAAACAAAAACAAATGTAATAACAAAAAAATAAAACTTTTATTTTACGACGCATATATAAATGAAATGATAAAAAAACAATTAAAGAAGATATGTACATATAAAAGACCAAAATGAAATAATAAAATAACACTTAAAGAACATATATGCATTTAAAAGATCAATATAAACACTAAAAAGGACATATGTGCAATTTATTTTCACTTCGTCTTATTTATTTTGGTAGGCAAAATAGTTTGATGCTATTTAAAATAGGGAGGAACGGGTCCTCTTCTTTGTGAACCCACCACCACGAAAATTCCTAGAATGTAACAAGATTCATAATTTGACGAAAATAAACACAAAAGGGCTAAAAATAAAGAATTTAATAAGTGAACGTATTAAGGAAATAACTGAAAAATAAACAATGTAATAACTGAAAGGTTTGGCGAGATAAGAGGGAGGTTATGTGACGTGACGTTAGATAACAAGTGAGGTTTCGACACGGCCTGCTAATGAAGTAGTACCATGAAATAGTTGAGCATTTAAATTAATTTGTTTCCTACATTTTTCTTTAGTGTTCATTAAATTATGCCATATTTTCAATCTTAACAAATATTCTCAAATACCTGCAGCTATTGACTGATTCAACTTAGTTAATTAGGAATGTAGATTCAAGTAAAAGTAAACAATTGATTATTCATTATTTTATTTGATAAGATAATATATTTAAATCAAAATTTGTTTAATAATGCCTATCACGAATGTAAAGAAGTATTTTAGCAAACTATGTTTCAATCAAAATCTATTCACATGTCACCTTTCCAAAATCAAAACTACATGACCAACTTTGTCCTATATTTATGAAAATAAGACTAAAATAAAATAATGAATGAACAATAAATAGATGATTTATTGTTTCATGACGAATAGAGTGACTGGTACTAGTTCACAAGAGTTCCGCACGGATTACGCGTGGTTCACAATCACTTCGGTCACACTTGTTCATGGAATCCCGAATGCCTTCGGGTTTATCCGACAGAGAACGAAGGCGAACGATCTCTTGAATTAGTTACGATTAACTTTTCCGCCATTTAAGTACTTCTATAACCTTAACCATGTTCAGTTATATTAACGTTATTTAAGGTATTGACTTAAATTCGAAATTTAGACTACACATTATGAAATCTGAATCGAACATGTACATATATTATATATCTGTGAAAAAGGAATATTAATAGATAAAAACATTTAATTATTACATCTCTGAATGATATTTCACAATATTTTTCCTATTTATGATTTCTATTATTCATTATCTCGGAATTATCAGATATTCTTCGTCAGTTCTTTCCTCAATACGTTAATTCCTTACTCGAAAATAAACACGATTTTTTTATTTTTTTTATTTTATGAATGACTACAATAATAGCCATTCGGATTATTTATTATCCAAATGATAAAAAACTCTTTTATACAATTTATAATAGATAATATATAATAGTATATGCGTATTTATAGCCACTACATGTAAGCACGTGTCAATAAAAATTTTATTTCTAAAAGCATTTTTTTTTTTACAAGCCTTGAAGAAAGACTCAAACATTATTTTATATGTTTTCTTTTTCTTTCACACTAATGACCGTTATATTGAAAATTAATAATTAACTAAATAAGTAAATACACAATTTCTTAATACATTTTTAATAAGAAAGTTCCACGAAGGGAATACGTTTTTTTTTTCTTTCAAAAATGCATTAAGAGGGACAATAGCTGACGTCATAAAAGACGACAACATTCGGCTGTTTTCGGGATTCCATGAACAAGTGTGATCGAAGTGATTGTGAACCACGCGTAATCCGTGCGGAACTCTTGTGAACTAGTACCGAGTGACTATTAATATACTCGATTAAAATGTATATCACATAAAAGTAAAATATATATATAAAATAGATACTTCTGTATAGACTATGTATGCTGCACAGTTTATTATATGACGGAAGATTTTTGATGATCAAAAGTAAACTTGTAGGTAACTGAGTGGCTGTATTCATCACCAGGTTCTAAGATAGAATTAGGAAATGATGGAGTATTAACCGCATTAGGAAAATTTTGAGTTTCAAAGCAAAATCCTGAATACCTATTGTAAACAGCCCTATTTTTACCAGGTATATTTGATAAATAATAGCCAGTGTAAAACTGCATCCCTGGCTGATCAGAGTATATTTCCAAGACACGGCCTGACTTTTTGTGGAATGCCCTTGCACAAAATTTCATTCCTTCTCCATTAATAACATAGTTGCAGTCATAGCCCATAGTTGATCTACTTATCACTAAACCAAGATTTTTTCTGTTCCTAATATCAAATTGTGTCCCTTTCACTGGCAATATTTCTCCAGTTGGTATCAAGTTATCATCCACAGGAGTATATCTGTCGGCATTAATTCGCAAATCATGGTCTTTGATTCCTTGCCAACCGGTTTCATGACCTGCCAGATTGAAGTAGCTGTGATTCGTCAAGTTAATGGGTGTTGTATGAGTTGTCTTCGCACGCATATCGAGTCTCAGTTCGTTTCCAGGAGTTAGTTCATAAGTAGCAGTGAATTCCACATAACCTGGAAAACCCTCTTCCATGTGGTAACTTATGCAGGTGAATACTACCTTATCCGTCGCAATTTCCACATCCCAAATCTTTTTATCTAAGCCATGAAATCCACCATGAAGAGTGTTGGGAGGATTATTAATTGACACATTATAGATTTTTTTTCCTATCATGAAAGTTCCATTCGCTATTCTATTGCAAACACGTCCGACAATTCCTCCGAAGTATGCATTGTAGTCTGCCTGGTATGACTGTAAATTACTAAATCCTAGTACGATATCTGTTTTTTTGCCTTGTGTGTCTGGCAGTTTGATGCTCGAAATGGATGCACCATATTGCAATAAATCCACCGTCATATTTGAGTTATCTAAGGTGTAACAGTAAATGGGCTTGTAAAAATTTCCCACCTTTATCTCGCCAAACTGGCTCTTGTGGATTAAAGTTGCAGACATTTTTAAGTTATTGGTTTTTTAACATTTAAACCAATGGAAACTTTTTAATATTATTTGAAACAAGACATAATTTGATCTAATAAAATCTAATTTATTTTATACAAACAGCTGACTGACGTCGTTATTGTCTCTCAACTACATTGAATATTTATATTACATTATACTAACTTGAAATTAGGATAATTGATGTTCGGTTGAGATAGGAAATCAAGACTTTTTCAATAGAAAAAGAAAAAAATAAATATTCTGTTGATGATTAAACGATTTTCATTTTTACGAAATTCTGAAATTATTAACTAAAAGAACAAGTTTATGAGTTGAACTAAAAGAACAACTTTATAAACTTGTCTCCGACATACTGAGTTTGAACTAAATTAGTTCAGATTCGGTATATTGAAGACAAAAAGAGCATGGGGTGAGGCGCAAGAAAATGAATAAGGAAGTCATTTACCGACAGGCCGTGAAAAAAGGTTTTATTTATAGACGAGTTTCCTTTAAAATCGTATTCGAGGCTTTTCAAATGATTCAAAAGTTGATTTAATGTTCTTTGAAATTGAATATTAGTGTTGGTTTTTTTGTTTGTTATTTTTTGTAAAGTACGCATAACCTTGGTCTAGCTCCCTCATCCGTTAGTTCTGTATTAGAACGTTACAAATAAAGATCAGGAAAAATATAAGAGTGTTCTAGAACACCGTAAAGCAATTTAAAAAGGGAACACCATTCCGCAGCATCAAGGACAGACAAGGAAATATTATTACAAAAAAGTTAAGAATTCTTGAAATTGGCGAACCAATGAAGGAAAGGTTCTCGATGAAAGAAAGGAGAGATGAATTTGTTGATTTAAAAAGACCTAGATCAAAGGGCACTCAGCCGAACGACATGTATAACACTATTTGGAAGGATGGGGTAGAGCTAGCTGTATAAGGAATCGAGCTGGGTAAAGTAGCTGGTATCGATAAAATCGCTCCAGAGCTTATTAAACATGGAGGGTGAAAATGTTGCAAGGCCTGATAGAGAAAATTAGAACAAAAAAAATAACACCAAAAGAATGGGAGAATATCATACCCATCTTTAAGAAAGGATTCCCAAGGCTTCGTGACAACGGTGGCCCAAAGGCCAATATGGTTATTCTCAATGATATACAAGGTTTACTCACGTATTCTAGAAAGAAGTTTAAGAAAAATCTTGAGGAAGAACAAGCATCATGTAGCCCAGATAGGTAGAACCAAGATCACATTTTCACCCTACGCACAATAATAGAGAAAATATATGATAGGAGGAAAAATGTATTTAGCATTCTTAGATCCCAACCCATCCTAACACTGTCATCACTACGTATGCTGATGACACATGTATCCTGTCAGTTAATAATGATCCAACAATTGCATCTCAAACTCTTCAATCACACATCACAAACCTTGAAGAATGGTGTCAAAACTGGAGGATTAAAATCAATTCCAATAAATCCTATCAAATCACCTTTACCCTTCGTCGTAAACCAATGACTTGCTGTCCTATAGTATCCTTTAATAGCACACCACTTATCCCTGTAGAACAAATCCGATACCTACGACTCCAGCTGGACAAACGTCTCACTTGGAATCCTCATACAAGACTGAAACGACAAGAAAATGCTCGACGTTTCCGCTTACTCCAACACTTACTGGACAAACGCTCTAAACTTTCAATGAATTACAAACGACTCATATACATGACTATAATAAGACCTATTTGGACTTATGGAGTTGAGCTGTGGGGCTCCACTAAACCATCAAATTCCTCTCGTATCCAATCTTTACAATCCAAAATCCTTCGTAAAATCCTCAATGCTCCTTACTTTGTCACAAATAAAATAATCCATAAAGACCTCAATGTTCCATATGTTTCCGATTTGGCCAAATCCAGATACCTATCCTTCCATAATAAACTTCATAACCATCCAAATCCTCTTGTTTCTAACCTTGCTTCCTCTTCGATTCCTGATAACCCTCCGAGGCGTCTGAAAAGGAGATGGCCTCGTGATCTCCTCATGTAGACAAATTATTAGAGTGCTACCAATGGGTAGTTTCTCAACAAGCGTGGTTCATGTGATAATATTCCTATGTACACATTTACTTAATGTATTCATACTAATACAGTTGTAAATAGCATAATAAAAGTAAAAAAAGCATTCTTAGATTTGAGGGTGCCTTCAACTCTTTGTCCCCAGAGGAAATTTGGAAGGCTTTGGTGAATAAAAGTACTTCGTATAAGCAATACACCAGGACATAAAAGGTATTGTCAAACTTAACGGGCATAAGTCAAAACCTTTTACCATAAGTCAATACCTTCAAAGGTATATAAGGGTGTCAAACAGGGAAGCAGTCTCGGCTACTCCTATTTATCGTTCTCATGGATGAAATATGGAAGATCTGCAAAACGAGAAAGTCGAGAGCAGTGGTAGGATATGGAACACCATACCAGTTCTGATTTAAATATGAAGAGGATATAATATTAGTGGCAGAAACTACAAGTAGCAGTAAATGAGTCAAGTGAAGAGCTGCAGTTAAGAGGAATAACTATTAATACTGAGAAAAGTAAAGCTATGCTAGTTGGAAGGGATGATGAAATGGGAGCAGTTACCTGTAATGGGGTATCTGGGTTTGCCTCTTCAATTCGTAGATGCCTATGAGTACCTGAGTACAATAATCAGCAAAGATCACCAAGTACTCCATAGAGAGAAAAAAAACGGAATGGAGTATATTACCAAATACGCTCCACAATTATTAGAAAGAAGGAATTAAGTGACAAGACAAACTGTATCCCTTTCAGTTTTGCTGTATATAGCGGAGAGTTGGACAAACCTAGACCGGTATGCGAGAAAAGTGACTGCAATAGAGAGGAGATTCCTGAGAAGAATGCAGTAGAAAACTCGAACGAACCGGATACGCAATTAAAGTATCCGGGAGGACCTCGGGGTATCGTCTGTTGGAGAGGTAGTGGAGCAGCGCCAACTGAAATTGTGTGACCATGTGAGTAGAATGGGCGATGTAAGAAAGATTGAATTGCTATGGAGGCCAGACCCACAGGAAAGCACCCACGAGGTCGGCCAACGCAGATGTACACGGATTACCTCAGCAAGCTTGGAAGAATAAGAGGCTGCTCTCTGATAGAGATGAAGGATATGGCGAATGATCGTGACAATTGGAAAAAACGGACCGAGAATAAACCTCCACGCTGGTGGCAACTTGGAAGTAGAGAAAGAAGAAGAAACAAATTATGGGCAATTTTGTCTATTTCAACTTTGTATAGAGTAGTTAACGTTGATTAGTAGTTATGTGCATAGTTTTGGAGTTAAGAGTAGAAATAAAAAAAAAATGGAAAGTTCACCATTTTTTTCATATATCCGGAAACTATTTGACTGAGCCTAATTTATGATTTGTGACAATATGGATCTTATCATAATTTCAGCCGGTAGTTTTTCCAGTTAAATAAACCGTCTAGTTTTGGTACTTCAACTTAAAATTTCATATATAAAACGTCTTTCGACAGATTGACCGTAGTTGTGTGTTCAAATAAGGATTATATAGAATTAAAATGTTTTCAAGCTGTAAGTCTTTCGGTTGAATGAGCTTCCTAGAAGTTTCTATTCTATATGAACATACTAATTATAAACCAAATTCTTATATGTAAATAATGAAAATGAATTCAGAGATTTGTCTTTATTTTTTATTGACTAAATATCGGTTTAGAGTTTAATAATATTAAATACGTTTACATTAATGAGGGGATTTAATTTATATGTAAAAACTTTGTTTTGTAAATAGTGTTCTTGAACTATAAAGTGATTATATTATATTGGTTAATAATTACCAAAACATTGTTATTTAACCATTGAAGAACAATTTCGTAAATGGTAATAACCATTGATGACAACGAAACCTCAGATAGGAGTTCTTCCATACAGTATATTTAATCCCAATGTCTGTTCTGAGTATTCGAGGAAACTTCTTTAAGAATTGCACTCAGCAGTACCCGTGATTCTGTAGCTTTGTAGAACTAGATTCATGAAGGCATTATTATGTTGTAGCGCCAGGAAGTTACCTGTTCCTTATCATCGAGCCACTCCTTCTTCGAGCAGCAGCGAAGCCAGCAACGAGGACTCGAGGAGCTCGTGGTCTAGAAGGAGTGCCTCCCTCAGCCCAACCTACTCTCGATAGCTACTCATCACCATTGTAAACCCGACAAACTTGGTGTCCATCTTAATGATATATATACCATTCTTATATAAACGAAGTTATTGTATCATATTAATCTGTTATCATTAGAAATTAACGAGTCTTTTTTAAGAGCACTTCTAAATTAACATAATTTTTGTTAATTCATCAATGTTCTTTATCATTTCAGGAGGTTTACTATTCATCTTTGATTTAACCAGATATGTAAAAACCAAGAAATGTCTTGGAAAAGCCATGACCTCATTTCGAAATTTGTTACCAATCAGGAAATGTTTTTGTCAACGATGAGAATATTACGTATGTTGTTCGTTTCTAGTCTTAAAATGTTAACCAATCAAACATTCCAATTATATCAGTGTGATATACATAATTATTTCTAGTCCTTAGGTATGTGCAATTCTTTATTTATAATGTTATAGTTGTTAATTTATTATTTATTTAAGTAACTTATTGTGTTATTATTTATATTACTTTTTAAGTCATCGATACCATCTAGTCATTGATGCAATTCAAGTCAAATATTATATATATGGATATTAATTTCAAGGGAAACCTGCTTAAGTTATCATTACCTATCTAGTCACTTTTAATACTCATAAAATGTATGAATTTATTTTGTCTAAATGGTTGTATGATTAGTAAATAAAATTATATGTTGCTTGTACTACTATTTATCTTACTTTAATTTAATGATCTCATAGACAATGTAATTAATGTGAATGATTATAATTACAATACTCAGCTTGATATTATAAATTCATCTGTCTTAAATTCGACTGTCTTCATGAACTTATGTACCATGCGATACTAGTCAAATTGGTTTCAATTTAATTTTATGTAACATTATTGTTGTCAATAAATTAGTTTTGAGATTTATAAA